AGAACCACTTTTCTGTTGCTTCAAGTCTCTTCATCTTTGAGGAAATTATTCAGAACACACTGCTATACAGGAGGACAAATATCGCGTAACATTTCAGTACTCTTTTTTTCTTTTTGTTGTTTCTAATGAAGTTTTTCTATTTCTTAATACTCCGCTTAGCATTGCAAAGGCATCTTTGGCTATCCCAATTTCAGTGTCGCACTTTCCGTCCTCCGTTAATTTCAGATATTTAAATGTTCGTCCTTGATTTTCTATCGTTGATTTAACTTTTAGCCCATTCCTTTTACTAACAACCATGCATTCCGTCTTCTTGCAGTTTATGTTTAATTTTTTCTTCTTGTTTTCCACAAGTAGGAATTCTCATAATTTTCATTCCGTGTCTGTTATCAACAGAGGATCATTTGCATATTGTCTGTTGTCATGTTTGGGGTTGCCAATAATGGATCCCGATAAAACTTTTAATTCTCTCAGAATCTCGCTGTATAGGTTGAATAAGTCTGGTGAGAAAACACCATTGTCTTACACATCTTTCTATTTTTGTATAATTGCGGAACTGGCCTATTGTCCGTATGCAGGCCGTTTGCTGTCAGTATAGGTTCTTGATTATTCCAATATCCTTCCCAAATATGTCAAGGTTGCTGAGTAGTTCCAATAGATCTTTGTGGCATGCTTTATCGGACGTCTTTGTGTAATCTATACAACACAGGTACACGTTCGTCTGCATTTGTATTACTCTTCCTGGTAAAATTCTGAGCGTAAATATTGCGTTCCTTGTTCCAATGTCTTTGACGAACGCATAATGTTCTTCTCTTGTTTCAGATCTGATTCTGCTGCGTGCTTTGTTCACCAGAATTCGGATGATGATTTTTATATGTTAGGCCAATTTTGTCCTATGGAGTTCACCAGCTTTTTCGACAGTGCTATGAAAATAGATCTACTTAGGTCTTCCGGTATGTCGCCAATGTTGTAGATTTAATTTATTATTTCTGTAATCTTGTCTAAGGCTGTCGGCATATATTTATATTATTCGGACTATTGTCCTTGAGGACACATGGCACAGTGGATAAAGGCGTTGGTTAGATCCAGTGACAGGACCCAAAGAGCGTGAGTTCAATAACTGGTTAAGGCGGTGGAGAACGTGGAGAGGGAATTAAGCAGGAGATAACTGATAACTGACATCCATTAGACATGGCACGTGGAAGTAGAACAGTCTACCCCAGTGAGCGTAAAAAAGGGTTCAGTTCGACATTCCAACCACCTGAAGAAGGCCGGAGCGTACAAAGACTAAAACGTTGTAATAAATATGGCGACAAAGATGAGGACAATAGTCCCAATAATGTAAATTGTGTACATAATACCTCATCTCAGAAATATAGACAGATACTGTCAGCATCTCTATTAAAATTCCGTCTGGCCCTGCCGCTTTGCTTCTGTTCAAGTTGGTCAGTGCAGATTCCACTTCCTATTTGAATATTTCTGGTCTGTTGGTATTTCTATGAATTGCCGGTTGTTCTCTTTTGTTGTGGAAGAGTTCTCCTATATATTCGTTCCATCTTTGAAGTATTTTTTTCATTCTTTAATATCAGCGTCCCATTTTTTGGATTTAATGCATTCTTTTGTGAGCCTGTTTATTATCCTGTTAGTTCTTTTACCTGTGATATTCTATTTCGGCGCAGAAAACGTTAAGAAGGCGTCAATTTTCCACTGTTCACAATGGATGTCTATTTCTCGTTAAAACACAGCACACAAGTATACCCTTGTGCAAATTAGGTCATTTGCAGTGGTACGCAGTAATATGAATCTGTTTTGGGGATGTATCACGAAATTTGTTTGCCTTTGAAAAACATTGCGTTATCCGTGATTATATCAGATTTTTATCACGCCCAAACACTGTTGTCTCGACTGTCGATTAGTTGTCTTACGGCTATTTTCTGCGATGAACGTTATTCCCAGCGTACGAAAATTGTAACGCTGCACAAACACACTGGCAAGCTTTACCAGTGAGCAAATCAAAGTACTATTAACTGGCCCGAAAACTGTCCTGATTTAAATCCAGTCAAGAATCTGTGATCATTCTGTAAAGAACACTGGCCCGAAAATTCTCCTGATTTAAATGCAGTCAAGAATTTGTGGTCCTTCTGCAAGGAACGACTTCGTGGAATGGTCATACCAAGTACTAACATGTGCACTGGGTCATGTTTCATTGGAAAAATATGAAAAAAAAGTAAATAATAACGGAATTGTTCGTTTTGTTTAAATTAATTTGCACAAGGGTGTATTTATATAACATAAGGACTATAGTTCATCCGAACATTTGCCATGGAAATAATGAGAGTTCTGAGAGGTTAGCAACTTTTCTTCTGTGGAAAAGGGATAAGAGTGGAAAATAAGCTATAATAAGCTTTTTAACAATGTCATGGCTGGAAAGTGGGTACTCGGTCGCCCCATCTGACTCTTCTAAAGATAAAGCATGGTAGTAGGAATCGGGTACTCTGGAGCGGTACAAGGAACTGGTAATATTTCCATCATCTTAAGAGATACGAATTTACGAGTTTCGCTAGTCAATTGAGTTCACTTTCCAGGAGTGATCTTAGGAAAGGCATGAATCTATTTCTTCTCCCTCCAGCCAAGGATGTGGAGTTGGTGTAATGGATAACGGATTGGAATGATGAATCGTAGAGCAGTTCGAATTCCAATCGAGTTCGTTACATTTATTTATGTGCAAATACGCTCGGGTATTCTCCTCCCCTACCTATGGATTAAATAGTAGGATTTGTATCTCGAAAAAATCATTGGTATTCTAAAAAAAAACCGTTAATGCAATATTCAGTCGCAAAGAAAAACAAGAATTACTCGTACAAACCAAAATGTTCTGGCTTTAAATAACGCATAATGGGTTGATAAGCCATAAAAAACAAACACATCAAATGTCTCTAAAAAAAAAAAAAAAACGCTTTCTCCGACTGCGGTGGAATGCACAAATCACATGACTGAAGAATTTTAAGTCACTGTGCGTTTTTAAGGGCCGATGCATCTCCACGAGGGACCCAGTGAAAGGTTGAGACCTAGCTGACAGCCTAGTAGCACGCTTAAAATCATGCAGTCTTAGAACTAGCGAAAGTCGCTCGTCGAAGCAGTAACCTTGAAAGTATTTGTAAAAAAAGACAGAGGGAGGCGACGGCACGTCTGTGAGAGAGCGACTGTAGACGAGATGCCAGATCAAGGCTAATCACATTGCATATCCGTCTCTGGATTTTGTCGAGGACCTTAAAACGAACAACGGGGGCACCAGACTATATATGGCAGCAGCATTCCATGCAAGGGCGAATAGTTGACTTATAGATTTGAAGGATGGTTTGTCTTACACACCTTTTTTGTATATTTACTGAATTTCTCTACCCGTATGCAGACGGATTGCTGCTAATATAGGTTCTGGATTATTTTAATATCCTTCCCAAATATGGTAAGGTTAAACAAGCAAACCACTTTATTTTATTCGAGTTCCAGTCTAGATTCTTTTATTATTTAATTTTGCATAAGTAAAAACGCGTTCTGTAATTCATTTTTTAAATTAAAACAAGATGTCTTCTTTTTCTTTTACATTAAAAGAAAGCAATGTTACTGAATGCAGCGGCGAGGTTCTTTATGATGTCTTATCAACATCATTATCAGTCCTTTAACGGCTCTCCCCGTCGGGGAAACCTAAAGACAGAAGAAACAGGCAACCTCCTTCAGAAAGATCTGTTGGCGGTAACTCATGAATTCCGCCACTGTCATGTCTGTCCACAACTCTTTGGTGTTATCTGACCAGCTCTTGCGTTGTCGTCTCCGCTGGAGTCCACTTTCAACAGTGCTTCGCATGATGGTCTTGCGGAGGTTATGTCGTGTGACGTGGCCAAACCATGCTATCTTCCGAGGCTTTATAGTGGCATGCAGAGATTCCTGCCTGCTCACAAGACTTTTGACCTTGTTCCATACGTAAGCACTGGTTTAGTGCTCCCATGCGGATGGGATTTCTCGAATATTTCTTCTCAAACGCCTAGATCTTTTTTTTTTTTTTTACTTCAACCAGCAGTGTCCAATTCTCACACTCGTAGAGAAGGATGGATACGACCAGTGATTTGTAAATCTTGAATTTGGAATGAATGTTTATGTTGTTCTTTCATATCCTTCCCAGCCTGACCATCGCTGCTGTGTTGCTGAGAGTTTCTGCGTTGCAGATGTCATCTTTTGACAGGGTTGTTCCCAAGTGTTTGAAGTGATTCGCTGGCATTTGTTTTGCTTTATGCAAAAGAGTTTGATAAAGTACATTTAATAACTCGCATATATTAGTGAGTGAATTTTAACCAGGGATAAAAAAAAAATTGCTTTTTTTTTTTTTTTTTAACTTTTTTTTTTTAATTAGGTTTATTTACTGACTTGAGGCTTTTGAAATAATTAAAAGGATTGTAATTTTAATTAAACTAATTGTTAACAGATTTAATTCTAATTAAGTAAATGAATATCTTCCAGTTGTCTTCATCGGGGCCATCTTAATATTGATTATTAATTACATTTAAATTCATTATTTCTTTGGGATTTTTTTTATTTTATTTATTTATTTATTTTTTTTTTTTTTTTTTTTTTTTTTTGCTATTGATTTCAATCCAGATTTTATAAAACTCATCAGTATATTACGCTTTCGAAATAAGAAAGCCTAACGATGGATGTTCCAAATGTCTTAAGCCTAAAGATAACCCCTTTTTACAGTGATTCCACAGTATTATTTTAATATTACTTGGCCGGAGTTTAACAATAGGCACTGGGACCAGATTTTTTTTTCATTTTCTCCATATTACTACAAATTAGGCATTCCATATTACGAACATAAAAAAGTTTTTCCATTAAATTTTATAAAATTTAATAGAGTGGTCCAGTTTGATACGTAAATTTATTGTAAATTGATCCACCTACGGATAACGGAACAAAATATGTTTATACGATGTAATTTCTTAAAATGCTTACGGCCATATCACGTTGAAACACTAGTTCACATACGATAACCGAGATTAATCAACGTCGAGCCTGGCTACTAGCTAGATGGGTGACCGCTTGGGAATACCAGGAATTGTAAGCTTGGATATGCGGGTTGTATAGCCGTTGAAACATCGATTCCCGTACGATCATAGAAATTAAGCAACGTCAAGCCTGGTCAGTACTTAGATGGGTGACCGCTTGGGAATACCACGTCTTGTAAGGTTGGTATAATGGATAAAGGCTTGAAATTGTTAATCGGGGAGCAGTTCCGATTCTAGCTGGATTCGTTATATATCCGTATGCGCAAATTCACTTGGGAAAGATATGGATCCACCTCCTTCTCCCCCAGCTATGAATTAATTAGTGAGACTTGTATAATTAAACTATTATTATCTCCCCAAAAGAAACATTATAATTACAATGTAAAATCCTGGCTTTTAAATAACCATAGAAAATAAATAAATCAAATCATTTTTTAAAATCTAAGAAACATTTTGGAATTTTTCTTAGTCATATACTATTTTCGGTTAAGAACTCCCGAATATGGAATACTGAAGTTATGTGACTGGCTTCTTTATGAAAACCAGTGACCATGCCTCAAGCATTTGGCGATAATGTGCCTGGTACTACAAGACTGAGTGTCATAATGGATATATTAGACTTTTTGTACTCCAGCGTCTCTTTTTTTTTTTTTTTTTTTTTCTTCTTTTTTTTTTCTTTTCTTCTTTTTTTTTTTTTTTTTTCTTTTTTTCTTCTTTTTTTCTTTTCTTCTTTTTTTCTTTTCTTTTTTTTTTCTTTTCTTTTTTTTTTTTCTTTTTTCTTCTTTTTTTCTTTTTTTTCTTTTTTTTTCTTCTTTTTTTTCTTTTTTTCTTTTTTTTTTTTTTTTTTTTTCTTTTCTTTTTCTTTTCTTTTTTTTTCTTCTTTTTTCTTTTCTTCTTTTTTCTTCTTTTTTCTTTTCTTTTTCTTCTTCTTTTTTCTTTTTCTTTTCTTTTTTTCTTTTTTTCTTTTTTTCTTTTCTTTTCTTTTTTTTTCTTTTCTTCTTTTTTTTTTCTTTTTTTTTTTCTTTTTTTTTTTTCTTTTTTCTTTTCTTCTTTTTTCTTTTCTTTTTTCTTTTTTTTTCTTTTCTTTCTTTTTTTTTTTTTCTTTTCTTCTTTTCTTTTTTCTTTTCTTCTTTTTTTCTTTTTTTTTTTTTCTTTTTTTTTCTTTTTCTTCTTTTTTTTTCTTTTCTTTTTTTCTTTCTTTTCTTCTTTTTTTCTTTTTCTTCTTTTTTTTCTTAACTTTTTTTAACTTCTTACTTCTTTTTTTTTTCTACTTTTCTTTTTTTTTTTATTTCTTTTTTTTATTTTCTTTAATTTTTTTAATTTCTTCTATTACTTTTTTTTTTTTTAATAATTTTTTATTACTACTTTAATTTTTTTTTTTTTTTTTTTTTTTTTTTTTTTTACGTAATATTCTACTAATAATAATAATAATAACTTCTATTATACTAATAATATTACTACTACTAATAATAATAATAACTTCTATTACTACTAATAATATTACTACTACTAATAATAACAATAACTTCTATTACTACTAATAATATTACTACTACTAATAATAATAACTTCTATTACTACTAATAATATTACTACTACTAACAATAACTTCTATTACTACTACTAATAATAATAATAACTTCTATTACTACTAATAATACTACTACTACTATTATTATTTTCTATTACTACTAATATTACAACCACTATTAAATCAATATTTTCTATTACTACTAATAATATTATTACTATTACTTTACTAACAGTGTCCCAGGTTCAACATAAGTTGTCCAGGAGTTTGCCCTCATAGGAAGATCCCATATACTAAGAAAAGAGCGATCAATAAAATGACAATTCTCTTATAGAGCCTAAGATCCATAGCTTGGACCCGGTTCTACTTACCCAAATACACGCAAGCCACCAATCTGCCACTGGGTGGCATGCCACTAGCGTTTACCGACGGTGGACCGCTGACGATATTCAGTCACCCCCACCCCCACGAGGGTGTCATGTGGCACAAGACCTTTTTAACGTGGGCATTCCGAGCCCGTAGGCTCGCCCAAAAATATGCCCATTGAACCCGTAAAAGAAAGAGAATCCGCCCTTCGGCGGAGCCTCCTTCGAGTTCCTCCCGTCCGTAGGAAGAGAAGTTCAACCGAACAGTCGCTCAGAAAGTACTGACTGACGGACCGCCTGCGTGTTCGTCTCGGCAATGTTACCACTGGCGAACCGCTAGAGACCCACCGGTGACTGCCACCAGAGGACCCACAGATCTCTACTTAACACCATACAGAAACAGCAAATCTAGAAATATCTGGAACACGTCTCATTTAAAAAAAAACAAAAAAAACACAATCACACTTGTATAGAACCATATAACAACACCAATTTTACCAAGAGAAATTCTCCCTCTGTGTGTGTGTGTGTGTGTGCGCGTGCGTGCGTGCGCGCGCGCGCGTTGTTATGGTGAGTATTTCTCCTCTTCATATAAATATTGAGGGCTAGAAATTCTTAAATAGAATCCGATAAGTATTACGGAATAAACATTTACAAAATAAAATCCGGAATAAATATTGGATGAACGGGTGGTGTAATGGAAAGCAGCTCCGATTGAGAAATCAGAGAGCCGAGTTCGAATTCCAATCGGATTCATTACATTCACTTACGTGCAAATACGCTTGGGAAAGGCATGGATACCTCTCTTCTCCCCCAGCTGTTTGCTAAATATCAGAGTAGACTGGAATCTTTAGCTATGGTTTAGAAGTAAAACCTTTCCATAAACTTTTTCGTTTAGAGACATTGTAGAACAATGTTCGCTATCTGTATTCAATTCTTCCAAAATGGATGGTTGGTTATGCACAAAGCTTCACTGCTATAATCAAATCGTACGAGGGGGTAGTTTTGCTGTTCGGTTCTAAGAACTGAACTTTTGAACCCACTCTCATCCTTTGAAGATGACTGGAAAATCATATGTATATAGAAAAATCCAAAATTGTCGATGCAATCAATCGACTACCTACCGGAAGACCTAAAACCTTAAGCAAGAAAAAAATATCCTAAACTAAGAAAAAAAAAAAAACACGGAAAAGGTCAACGCCTACCCAATCATTAAAGTGCTCAATGATTAGGCCACCAAGAAAGAGCAAAAAATGCCTCACAACGAACCACAACCAGAGTCGTTACTTAAGTTTCACGCTATCGCGGTTTTCATGCGACTAGAATACAAGATGAAAATGCCGCTTTCCATTAAAAAAATATTGGCGATTAATAATTTTAATCAAATATTGCAATAATAATTCTAAGTATGAATGCAGGTTATTATTTAAAGAAGAGTGTACAATTGAAAAGATTTAAAATCGACAAGTTTTCAATTTCACTGAAGCAGATCTGCTAGCTTACTCTCTCTTCTCTCCATCTCTCTCTGTCTTTCTTTCTCTCTCTACTCTGTCTTTCTTTCTCTCTCTACTCTGTCTTTTTCTTTCTGTCTTTCTTTCTCTCTGTGTGTGTCTTTCTCTCGCTCTCTCTGTGTCTTTCTCTCGCTCTCTCTGTGTCTTTCTCTCTGTGTGTGTGTCTCTCTCTCTCTGTGTCTGTCTTTCTCTGTGTCTGTCTGTCTTTCTCTGTCTTTCTCTGTGTGTCTGTCTTTCTCTGTGTCTCTGTCTTTCTCTGTGTCTGTCTGTCTTTTCTGTCTCTCTGTCTTTCTCTCTCTCTGTCTCTCTCTCTCTCTGTCTCTGTCTCTCTCTCTCTCTGTGTCTCTCTCTCTCTCTCTCTCTGTGTCTCTCTCTCTCTCTCTCTCTGTGTCTCTCTGTCTTCTCTTGCCCTCTTTTCTGTCGCTCTTCTCTTTTTTTCCCCTTTCTCACTGAAACCACACAGCGTCTCTTTTATGTCTTTTGTCTTCTCGATCAAAACTGAATATTCCATTATTTATCAGGTATTGGCAGGGTCTAACTATGGAACAAGCAGAATTATCCTCTCAAATTCTTTGGAATAATTCCACGTATTTTTTTATTTTTTTATTATACAGTTAATAATTGTTCATGTATGGCGTCCCTCTTGCTAAGAAATATCTAAATTATCATCAATATTTTCTCTGAAAAATGGCCTCAAGTGAATTAATCCTTTCGGTCTTAAAGATGACGATCCTTCATCAGACCCTGGAGACTGGCACTACAGAATCACAAAGAATTTTCTCAAATCACAAAAATCATCTCGTCTGAACACTTCCAACAGCAAGAAAAACAACAAAAAAATAGTGAACACATAACTAGAAGAGAAAAGATGGATATAATCAAAATGACTTGATTCGTTTTCTACGGATTCTAAGATATGATATGGCCACGTAGACACGTCTTACCAATTAATCCATAGGTGGGGGAAGATGTGGATTCATACCTTTACTGACGGTATTTGGGCGTAAGACAATATAACGAACCCAACTGGAATTGGAGTTCCGCTCTCCGATCAACAATTCCGAGTCATTATCCATTACACTGTCAACACATCCAAGCTTACAGCACTTGGTATTCTCAAGCAGTCACCCATTTAGATATATAGATAGATGTGAGCATAGATATGAAGATAGATAGACAGGAACAAATGATAGATGTATCAAAAAGGAGTGTAGCCCTTTAGGCAAATCGTTGGTAGACTATACCTCCTAGCTGACAATACCAGAAGACGCCATTTCTAATGTTTCATCTTACCATAGTAATAATCTGAAGCCGACCTTGAAGTCTGAGAAAGTGGGATCGTCTCTCTGCAACGAGCCACAAACTTGGAAGGAAATTACCCCTAGATTAGTGCTAGGCATCTGCTGTTCTCTGCTGCAGACATTATCGAAAGGGTGGTCGAGTAATAACCAAATTAAAGTTCTGTTTCTTCGATTTAATTATTCATGTTAATGTTGGCAACAAAGACACATTTTTTTTAATCATTTCACCTCAAGCAAGGTGATAAAGCCACTACGTCGCAAGGGCTTACTGAGAATGAAGGAAACTGAGAAAACGTTATTGAAGAGAAATGACAATAAAAAACCAGGATTTAAAAAAAAAAAATATGACAACGACTGACGTTGAATTTACATTTTTGAAAATCGTAGTTGACAGGAAAGCAAGAAACCAGATGAGAGTTCCACTGTCGAGAAATTCGGGAGATGAAACTCTTACGGTTGACTGGATCAATTTAAAGAGATCACTGAGACCTATTTGCCAATTTAGTATTGCGCTTAAATTCATGAAGATGCTGTATCAAATAGGAAAGCTTATAAGAACAATTGTCATGAAAATATTTATAGTAAAAGTTCAGGGAGATGACGTTGCCCTAGTGGGACTGATAACATTGTAGATTCTTCTTTCGATTTTAGTAAAAAAAATCTCTTGACACATAACAGAATCACAGACCAGATGTGGTGACAATACACGGACCAATGATAGATTTATAAATGGGCAAGATAGATTCTGACGAAAAACTTGTTTACGAAGACACAACAATCGTTGCTTTTCATGTCAGCGGAAAACGTTAGAAAAAGAAGGCACAATGATATGCTAAATGCTATTTTTCTCTAAAACTAAACTGTGAAAACTTTATCCTGTGTACTCACAAAAACAAGTTCATTAAGTACACAAAAATAAAAAAGGGAGCAAGGTGTTTTTTTTTTTTTTCTTTTTTCTTTTTCAAGAAGTTGGTTTGTTTTATTTTACAGCTTATCAACCTCAGTAGGTTATTTAATGCCGACAAGATTTTTACTGTTGGTAATATTTTTTTTCTTCAAAAAAAAATATTGCTGGTAATAATTTTTTTTCTTCAAAAATTTATTTTATTTTTTTTATTTTTTTTATTTTTTTACAAAAATGTATTGCTGGTATTAAAGGCTATTTTTTCACTTTCATAATGTTTTGACACCAGTTTGGAGGTTAACTACTTACCCCTTAGCTGGGACCCTAACAGGTGCTACACCCCGGGTCAGGGTGGACCTGGGAACATCAGCAAATTAAGAGGTGGTTCCACACTCCTCAACGCCTCCTGATCAAAGGCCTTGCTGTCGGATATAGTTTATCGTCTTACCCAGGACACGGATGTAGCTTATCATCATACCCAGGACGATCACCAAGTTGAAATATCTGAGAAGTGATAGTAGAGGATCAGAGATGCTACACAGAAATCTGAACGCCCATATAGAATTAGAAAGACTTTGGGAAATGGATATCCAGAGGGCATATCGTAGATGTTACTCAGTGCAACGAAAAATGTACAACAAGGAAAGCATTACAAGAACATGCTTCTTCTCAACTTGTAAAGTTCCTTCTTGCTGGACGTAAGCGTGAAAATGCCACTCACCATGCTATAATGATTACTACATCCATCGAACATACGCTCGCAAACACACATGTGCGCGCATATTAACAACGTTTTTATGTCAATCTCGACGTATGAAGACCTAATTGTTCAGTTTAGAAATTAACTGCCAGAATACATAGACAGAGGATTTGATTATTGTGGTGAAGACTTTTAATTCAGTTTCCTTTCACCTCGACTGGCTTAGACCCAAAGAAAGAGAACCCAGTCTATCCTACGATTTAGCCCATATCTAGAGGAAGATAGTTTCATATCTTTTCCAATGGGTTTAACATGTACTGAACTATATATATATATATATATAATATATATATATATATATATATATATATATATATATATAAAAATCTCGCATGAAACAGACTGTCGCCTCTATGTTGACTTCAATGTTCACTTTTATATTTACACACGCTCTCTGATATTGAGTACTTTATCCCATAAATATAGCACACTTTAAGACTATACTTCTTATATATATATATATATATATGTGTGTGTGTGTGTGTGAAGTGAACATTGAAATAAACACTCGGTGGCGACAGGCTGTTTCATGCTAGATGCAATCGACAGGTCGCGAGTGTTGTATTTTACTGTATATATATATATATATATATATATATATATATATGGATCAGTGGTACATTGTGGGTAATCCATTCTGGCGGTTATTTTGACAGGAGTGGCTTATTTATTTGTTTATTTGGGTTATTTTGCTTGTTTTTTTTTTTTATTTTATATATTTATTTATTCTTTTCTGTTTTCGATGTTTTATTGACGTAGTAAAAAAATTTAGGTCGCTTATTTAATAGTTTGTTTTGGTGTGAGAAAATAAAACTATTTATTCGTCCAATCTTTGGATTGATTGCCGTAATCTATTCTGCTATTTTGGCGGGGGACAGTTTTTAATTTGTTTATTATTTTATTTATTTATTTGGATTGATTATTTTTACTTGTTTCTGCTTATTTATTTTTATTAGTTCTAACTGTTATTTTAGCGGGAGCGATTTGTTTATTTATTTGGATTAATTTTTACTTATTTTTCCTTATTTGCTTATTTTTTATCTACTCTTTTCGGTTTTCGATTTTTTTTATCGTTACATAGCTATAATATAGCTATTTTCTCGTCCAATTTTTGGATTGAATGCTGTAGTCTATTCTAACGGTTATTGGTTTGTTAGTTTGTTCATTGTTTACTTTATTTATTTGAGTTGATTATTTTTACTTGTATTTTATGTATTTATTTTTTTATTTTTTTTTATTTGTTCTATTTCGTCTATTCTAACGGGAGTGTTTTCTTAATTTGTTTATTATTTGCTTGGGTTAATTTATTTTACTTGTTTTTTATATTATTTTGTTTATTTCTATTTATTCTTTTCAGTTTTCGATTTTTAAGTAACGTAGTAAAAATTTCTTTTCATGTCTGCATTTTGAAATGAGCTCAGATCGTTTATTTAGTAATTTATTTTGGTCTGGGAAGGTAATAATAGCTATTTTTTTCCTCCAGGAAAAGTTTACAGGCTTTGGATTGATTGTTGTAGGCTGATGATCTTTTCCTTTTTTTCATGATGTTTTTGGTGTGATTTGCGTTTTGATTTTAATTTCCCAGATATACTTAGAATACTTAGAAAGCATTGTGCTCGTCGCGTATTTACTACTTGTAAAATGTTTTCTGTGAATAGTTTCTTTGTTTCCAGGGACCTTCAATTACTCCCCTTTTTCTTCATTATCTGGTGATTTTTTTTTTTTTTACAGTAGCTTGGTATATTACATTGTTTTGTAAGCAATTATCGTTTAAGGGACATTCATTCTTTATTCTACGGTTACACGTGGGTTTAATTTGTTCGGGTGGTTCGTTGATAGTTTCCTGTTGTGCTTTTTATTATTTGTACCAAGTTTTCGGTTCAACTATAGCTAATTTTTACAGTGTTTTTTATTGAATATTTTGTGTAGAGTGCTTGATTCCGGGAAGTGTTTAAGTGTTTGTTTAAGAGTTTAAAGAATATTTTACCTACGTTTGTTTTTTACGTTTTTTTCTGTATGGTGGGTTGAACCATATGATATTTCTCTTCCTGTTGGCCTTTTTTGTGCTCTGTGGTGAGTATATAAGTGTTTCCTTGAATCCACTATCTTTTAGGCCTGTCTTTCTTAGCTTCGTTAAATATGGTTTAATTGGAATAATTGTCGGAAATCCTGCGGTTAATAGATTTTGGTATCTGTTTGATTATTGAAGGCGGGTGATTGGAAGATGTGTGTATGTACAGTGGTTTATTATTTGGTTTTCTCTATGGTTTATATGTACCTTTTCATAATAGATAGAAATGATACAGGACTCTACAGGGATGACGGTCTCATAATCTTAAGAAACTATAACAAGCAAAACACAAAACACAGACAAAACTAGAAAAGCTATAATAAAGATTTTTAAAAATAACGAATTTGACATAAATATAATAACTAACCTAAACGAAGTAGATTTTCTAGATGTTACCTTCAACCTAACGAAAAAGGTACATATAAACCATACATGACAAAAAAAACTTCCTTCTCGGTGAATCTCA